AGTCAGCTTTTTCACTGTTGTGACCAAAGTCCTGACTAGAACAATTTTATAGGAGAAAAACTTTATTTGGGGCTCACAGGTTTGGATCTCAGTCCATAGACGGCCAACTACATTGCTCTGGATTTGAGAAATGGCAGGACATGATGGGTGGTTGAGTAAGGCAACTCAGAACATAGCCACCAGGAAGCAGAGAAAGACTTCAGTTCAGCTCACAGTCTATATATCCCAAAGGCCCTCTCCCAAAGACTCACCTTCCCCAGGCCCATCCTACCTGTCTACAGTCACCATCCAGTTAATCCATATCAGAAGATTAATGCACTGATTAGGCTAAAGTTCTCCTAACCCAATTATTTCACCCCTGAACTTTCTTACATTGTCTTACACAAGAGCTTTTGGGAGACATCTAATATCGAAATCATAACAGGTACCATAGGTTGACAAACTTTGTCAATCTTGCTTACGTTTTAAATGTTTTAATTTGAATAAGTATTTAAAGAAAGAAAAAGAAGACATATTAAGGTGACCAAACAACCCTATTTTCCCAAGACTGTCATTTTTTATCCCTAAGTATCTGATACCCCGAGGAAACCCCTCAATCCCAGACAACCCTGGTAGTTGCTCATTCTAGTCTTTCACCAATTTTGTTATCTTTCAGTCTTTCAAGTTGATTTGTACTTAATCATTTCTAAGGGTAAAGGTCCAGTATTTTATTTATTCGTTCACTTGACAATCAGTTGCTGAGCCAGCCTACCAATGTGGCAGTTTTCCTGGGTACAAAGAAGAATAAGGTTTATTCAAAGAGCTCACAAACCTAGAGAGAAAACCTGACTTTAACACATTATTTTAACCATAGTAACACCACTTCAGATGGACTCAAGAAAGTATGGCTGTTAACAACTGAGGGGTTCTTTCAGAAACATCTCTATCAATGAGATGCACATAAAAACTAATTTTTTATCAGGTAAAAAATACAATAAAGATCTAAATTTTAAAAATACAATAATGGTCTACAGTTGTAGACAAAATCTGCCACAAATTCAAATAATCGAAAGCAAAGATGCCTTAGAATAGTCACGCAATGTACTTTTTAAAAAAACTTAATGACATTCCTGTGCTCTGTTCTAAACATTCTGACAAGCACTTGGCAAGGGGTTCTTACTGTAGGAGAACCATTACATAGTCATGGCTGGATGTGCTAACCTTTGTGTTTGAGTAAACAGAGCAGTTCTAGTTAAGAGTGGGGTAAAGGACCAGGTGGGCATCTAGAATATAGACTCAACACTGGAACTATGATCCTGCTATGTTTGCCCCATTCCATCACTTACTCACACAGGGGCAGCACATAGTTTGTCTAGACAATATTTCATAACTTAAGAACTATTTATTTCATCAAGAAAAAGACTATTTCTAGCATTCTTCATGCTTATTAACAAATCCTCTGTTGTGTGTTTAGCTGAACATGAGCTATTTGCCATCAAAATCTCTAGAATGTGGAATTCTTATTAAAGTCCTTCAAGTGCACACTAACAGTCCCTAGAATGCGGATTAAATTTAATTTGTACATACACAGACATATGATATTAAAGTATTCTTAAATGAATTACCTTGGAACCAATTATGATTATTTCAATAATAATGAAATAATAATAATGCTAAGAGTTATAATAATAAGCACACACTGAGAATTTTAAAACACAGCCACAGTTATTTTGTCTCCCTCTGCTTGATAAGGACAATTTTATTTTATAAATAAAGAATACCAGCATTTTCTCATTCTTAGTAGAAAAAATAGCATACAGTATTTATGAATGGCATCGAACACATTAGTACTGATACTGGTAAAGTACTAGTCCTAGAAAAGTACAGCAAACTTCAAGCATTGTGTTGGTAGCTTCAGAGGCAGTTCCTTCTTTGCAAGTAACATTATCATAGAGATACAAATGAGGATAACTTTGGAAAGATATGTCCATTCATTCTCACTTAACTCAGCTATCTTCCAAACCAAGGGAAGAAGAAATTTTTTTTATTGGAAACCCTGAATTGCACTTATGATGAGTCTCTCCTTACTAATTTGGGATTGGAAATAGGATCTTTGTTACCAGAAGAGTTTAAATCTCTTTTGCAAGTCAGACTTTGTCCTTACAAAAAAATGGGCCCAGATGATTTATCTATGCTAGTTTACTTTTTAAAAGTGATTTTTAAAGACTTCAAATCCATTTGGAGGGTATCTCCACTGTTCAGTTCCAGGACAGGATTTTCTCTGTTTATTGATGCATTATAATGATACATGATGTTAGGATTCATTGCTACATATTTATGCATGCACACAATAAAACAGTGTAAATTGTCAGTTTCCTTCTGCAGTTCCTCTAGGAGGGCAGGGATTTTTAAACACAGTTTCTTTACCACTTTGGGTCTGCATAAGAGCTGCTGGCAAACATGGGTCCCTCCAGGATCGAGCTTCCTAGAAGGATTTTCACAGGGGAATGGAGAAGACCGAATTATACCAAAAAAAGTGGTCTATGGCTCCCATAAAGGACTGTGACTTGGGTCAATTTTTCAGAAATTAGAAACAAAAATCAAATTCACTGAAGCCCAGAATGCCAAGTAATCTTTAAGAAGTTTTATTCTACATGCACTGTCAATCAACTCACATTTTATTTTCAGGTGCTATCATTTGAGAATCAGAAGTCCCAGTTTGGGGACAGCAAAGTAACCTATTAACAAATATAATCTAAAACAAGCAATATAAACTCATGTAGCTTTAGAATTAGAAAGACCATCAGAGACTTTCAATGGGCGTGGAACCTAGAAGAAATCTAAGAACATTTGAATGAAGACTGCTTATTCTTAAAGTTTGTCATTGTTGTCAATTATATGCTTGTGTGTCCTGGTTTATGGGTAAAGTATTATTTCCTTTGATTCCAATAATCATTCAAATGGAATATTTTTTATTTCAGTTTTAAATTGACGATTGTGGGGGGAGAGGCTGGGGATATAGCTCAGTTGGTAGAGTGCTTGCACAAGGCCCTGATTTCAATCCCCAGCACCATAAATAAATTAATAGATAGATAGATAGATAGATAGATAGATAAACAAACAAATAAATAAATAAATAGATTCATGGTTATGTGTGTTTTTTGAAAATTCATATGCATGAAAACTCATGCATATCAAAATTCATATGCTGGTCTTACCATGAAAAAGCAACTCTACTATAATACATCATTGACGTGTGTTCCACATACAAGCCAAGAAAAAAGTGTGGATCTTCATCCCCCAAAATAAGGAAAATGAACCAACCAATAGGGCCACTTGGGCATAGCAGTAGCAGTCATCATACCCAAAATGCTTTGAGAACTATGTTAAAAAAAAAAAAGTCATTTGACAGTCTCAAGTTCAGTATTACTAAAAACTCCATGCTACATTTATGATTGATGTTTTGTATCTCAAAATGCAATTACCTTTTAGCCAGCTCTCTTTTATCAAGGTAACAATGATTTGCATTCACAAAAGCAATTCATGTTTCAGGGCTGGGTTTGTGGCTCAGAAATAAAGCACTCCCCTAGCATGTATGAGGCACTGGGTTACAACCTCAGCACCACATAAAGTAAAATGAAGACATTGTGTCCACCTATAACTAAAAAATAAATATTCTTAAAAAAAAGCAATTCATATTTCAAAAACCCCACATTACAAATATCTTCTGAGTAACCTTGTATGTTTTACAGGTAACTCCCGCCTACTTGCTGGGTTCAGGTTGCAAACTTTGAATGAAGAAGTATGAGTCCCTTGGCTCTGCATTTTCATTGACTTTCTTTTTCTAACCCTTTTCCTTCCACCCTTTTCTGTGGATCCTGTGTATGTACTGACTACTCCCATTTAATCTGAGTCTCTCCTGATGACCCTTAATGCTGATGGTGAGGATGTGGTCACTGGAGCTCAGGAGATGTTTGGAAAGAATAAAATTCACCTGGAATGCTAGTGCTAAATTAAAATTATCTTTTAGCCAGCTCTCTTTTATCAAGGTAACAATGATTTGCATTCAAGCAATTCATGTTTCAGGGCTGGGTTTGTGGCTCAGAAGTACAGCACTCCCAAATATTTATCCCAAGAAATTTCAGGATCTGTACTTACCTTATAATTGTTTCTTCTGCCCTTTGTTTATATTCCAACAGGTTCTGCTTTTGCACACTATGGCATTTGCCTTTACCCACTGATTCTTCTTTCTGAAATGCCTTTCTGCTTGCTTGCTGAGGAGTCCCATCCACTGCTTAAAAAGTCAGCTTCTCTACGTATTCCATCTCGGCCCTCAAGTTGTTGGTATTTTCTGTGTTCATGGAACCCTTTGGAATTCATACTTTTATAATAGATTGTCGCATCTTAATTTTTGTAATTGTAGCAAACATTTATAAAACTTAACATCTTAACCATTAGTACGTGTAAGTTTAGTAGCATTGTGCAATCTCCAGATTTTTCTTCTTGTAAAATTGACACTCTGCCCACTAGACAATTTTCCCACTTCTCAATTCAATTTTCCCAAATTTTTTCAATTTGACTACTCTTCCTATGTGATATGCAAGTCGTACCATATTTTTCTTTTGTGACAGGTTTATTTTACCTAGCCCCATATCCTCCAAGTTCATCCATGTTGCAGTATGTATCAGAATTGTCTATCTTTTGGACTGAAAAAATATTCCAATGTGTGTGTATACAACATTTTTTTTCACTCATCCATCAATCAATACATGGGTTGCTTCCATCTTTGGATATTCTGAATAATGTTGCTATGAATATCAGTATGCAAATCTCTCTCTGAGACTCTACTTTCAATTATTTTGCACATATGTCCTGAAGTATGATTTCTGGATCATGTGGTAAGTCTATTTGTAATTTTTTAAGAAGTTGCCTTAATGTTTTCCATAGTGACTATACCTTTTACATTCCCACTAGTAGTGCACAAGTGCTTCTGATTTTTTTATATTCTGGTTGGCACTTACATTTTCTGATTTCATTCTTTGTTTTGTTTCTTTAAGTGGCAGTCATCCTACGGATATAAGAAATTATCATGTTATTTAAATTATGTTTTTTTCTCTGGCACTAATTTTCTTCCAGAAAAGAGAACTGTGCCTTTTCAACTAGACAGACTTGTTTTTATGTTGCTACTGTCTAATTGTGTACCTGGAATAGCACATGTCCTCCCTCAAAAGTACTATACAAAAAAAAAAAAAAATGAAGGTGGGCTACTGGTTAAAATTAATCTAAAATTTCAAAAGAGCTTTATGTTATTCTGAGTAACAAGAACAGGTTACTTACTGGATCCTTTCTCCAATGGGTAAAGGAGGGTAGAGAAGCCATGATGGGAAGCTTCAGATGCCCATGGTGGAAGAGGAGCAGGCAAACTAGCCACATGACCTTTATTTATTTATTTTTTTAAAGAGAGAGAGAGAGAGAAAGAGAGAGAATGTGTTAATATTTATTTATTTTTTTAGTTTTCAGTGGACACAACATCTTTTGTTTGTATTTGGTGCTGAGGATCGAACCCGGGCCGCACACATGCCAGGCGAGCGCGCTACCCCTTGAGCCACATCCCCAGCCCAACCACATGACCTTTGAAAGGAAAACAAAGAAAATGGAAGAGGGAGAGAAAATCTGAGTTGCCACAGGACTGAGATGTAGCCTGAGAGATTTTTTTGACACAAAATACTATGTGCATAATCCTCAGCATCTAAGAGTCCATCTCCACTCACCTGGGACACTTTGGGTTCTCCTCACCTAAGCATGGATGTCATTTGATACTGAGCACTTGGTGTGTTCCCAGCAACCCAAGTCAGAACACAACCCGAGAAAATGTACGAATCCCTTTAATTGGGTTTTAGTGATCCAGACAAATCCTGGCCCGTAGCCTATTGGTAATTTGGAAAATGTCAAAGTCTTTATCACAATTTTATTTATGACAAAACCAGGATTCATAAAGAACATAAACAATGGTTCGAGATCAAAGATTATATCCCCAAGGTCCTGATTCCTGCTCTGTTACACATCTTGGCCTTGTGAACTCTATCAGCAGTTTAAGGATACATTTGCATATTTCATTGTCAAGCCATTAATATATTCCTTTTCCAGAGTTCAGCTTCTAAGGGAGTCTAAATTCTCCTTTATATTCCTTCTTTTATTACTATAGTATCAGCAGGCCCGGAATTTCCTATTGCTCAGCTCCCCACACTTTTAAAACACAAGTCTTTCTATTCAGAACATTCTTTAAATAATTACAGGTCTCTTTTATAATAAACTCTTTCCAACTTGTTACCGGTCTACATTTTTATCTTCTTTTGCTTCTGCCTTTAAAGTTGTTTCAGCAATGCTAATTATAAAGAAAAAGATAAGGTCGGATTGCTTTTCTTCCCCAATCATAGCAGCTCAGAAAATGAATTGTGGCATTCTACTTTTTTATTTGTGCAGGTAATGATGTATTCATTGTGGTAAAGTCTTCACAGATAATAAAAATTATGTGCTTTTTACAGATGTGCTAATTATCTCTTCTGGATCAAGAAAAAAAATATTGAATTGGCTCCCAACTATGCCATTTAATTTACACCCATATTTGATGCTGGCAAGAAGCCTGCATTATTTGATGTTACTTTATTTTTTGGCTGGGAAACAAAATCATTCTGGAAAATTGTTATTAAGAAATACTTAAAACAACAAATATATATGATTGATTTGGAAGGTCAGCACCAGCTAAGTTATAATGCAGATGTAAATGCAAAGACTTGGCGAGGAAACCAAAGACAAACAGGATAAATGGTTTGCAGTATCCAACTTGAGTAATGGGGACTAATTCAATCTATTTTGGACATGCAGAGATAACTCTGTTATTAAATGACTATTTGCACCAGAAGAGGAGAAAACTATATATTTTTAAGACATAAAAACTACATCATTTGCTGGCAACTGAAAAAGGCCAACATTTTCATCATGTTTCCATTCATTTATTTATACTTGTACAGCAATATGACCAGGATCATTTGCAATTGCAAACCAGTTATACTAAATTCTGTTACCTGTGATCATAGTTCTTTGTAATATTCTGAGAGCATATTTAGTTGTGAAATTTTATTTAAGACTATATTCTTGGAAGGAAAAATACTGGTACTTAAATTTAATTTATACATTTTATCCTCAAGCAATCACTCAATGGGATGCAAGCCTCTAAAATAATAATGTCAATTATTTAAATTATTGTAACTTAAAAACCAAAATGATCTACTGTCAGGCGAGGCTAAATGAGAATAGGAAAGATCTTGTCTTTGTATGTTTTGTTTTGCTTTGTTTTGTTTTGTTTCATTAATGGGAATCAATTGCTCTTCAATTTCAACCTGTGGTTATTTTCAAAATAAACAGAGAAAACTGGCTTGCTTGGCTTCTAACACATAGAAGTCATAAGCCAACCAATTCACATTTTTTATCACTCCTTTTCCCTCCTGATTCTATTTGTCCAGATATACAAACATCCATAAAATGTGGTTGAGGTATTTAATGAGCCCACTGGAAATCAAAGGATCACTGCTTCTGTCAGCTTTGTCCCTGCTGTGACTAAAAGACCCCACCAGGACAACTGTAGAGGAGGAAGAGTTTATTTGAGGGCTCATGGTTTCAGAGGTCTCAGTCCATGGACAGCCGGCTCCATTCCTCAGGGCTTGAGGTGAGGCAGAACACCAGGTGGAAGAGTAGGGGGTGGGAGAACTAGCTCACATGATGATCTGAAAGCAGAGAGACTCCACTTGCCAGATACAAATATATACCCTAAAGCCATGCCCTCAATGCCCCCCTTCCTCCAGCCACACCCCACCTGTCTTCAGTTACCAGTCAATGAATCCCACCAGGTGATTAATTCATTGATTGGGTTAAGTCTCTCATAACCCAATCATTTCTTCTCTGAAACTTTCTTGCATTATCTCACACATGAGCTTTTGGGAGACACCTCACATCCAAACCATAACAATGGCCAAGTCCATCACTCTAAGTTGGTCTGGATAATAATGCTTCTGAGTTTAGGAAATGACAATATAGAAGAAAAATACAGGACTAGAATTAAAGTTCAAGGCTTTTGGTTCTAAACACAAGTTCTATTCCCTAAAACACTCAAACCTGTGACTCTGGACAAAACTTTCTACTTTTCTGAGTCTTTGTTTCATTTTCAAAATTAGTATAGTAATATTATACAAACCTACTCATAGAGTTGCTTTGCCAAAAACGCTCACATTCGAATGTGAATATAATATAAAATGTAAATATAACATATCCTATCCTTTAAAATAATAAAAAAAATCTCAGTAACAAAAAAAAATCACGAATATGCCACTCATAACTAGTTTGCAACCCAGACTTCCCTTTTACCTGATAATACTAGTAATAATAACTGTGAAAACTTCTATAGGGAATGAAAGTGACAGCCTAATTCATGTGCTAGCTTGGATATGTACACTTGACTTGTGTTCTAGTCAGAGAATCCCCAGCCACAGCTCAGCTCGTGCTATTCTCTTGATGGTAGGGCCAGGTTGTTGTAGCTGCCACTACAAGATAGAGTCATTTCACACAGGAGCTGCACCAGGTCTCACATGTCACTCATGAACTACACCTGATGGCATTTACCTCTTACCAGGACTTTTTCTTGGTGCTAAAGTGCAGGACGCCATAGGACATTCTCAACATCGTTATGGATAGAACCCAGAAGTGTGAGGGAGACAGCACAGTGGAAGGCAGTTACTAGCATTTAAAATGCAGGTACACTCCATGCTCTGGATGGATTATTTGGAGAAGACGCACTCGGTGGTTTTCAATGACATCTGTGACACATTATTGTGACCAGCTCAGCAACAACTCTTCTAGATTTGCAGATCCTTCTCCCCTGCTTCACTCTCCTCTCCCCTCGACTTTCTTGAATTGAACTCATAATAAATAGAGCTCCTAATATTGGCTACAAACATTTATTTCCTATGAAACCCAGGAAGAGAAAATATGCAACAAGGAATAAGCAAAAAGATTGTGACCAAAGGCTGCTTGAAAATAGAATCTGTAAATTGTCTGAAGGTTACATGACTTCAGCATCACAGAAATAGAAGTACAGAAACAATTAGTTGTGTTCACCTATTCATTTAATAAACTGAGTTTTTTCTATGTGTCAGTCATTAGACTAGTGATTAGGGATTACAAGATTTTTTTTTAAAAAAATGGCAATCCATTGGACTCTAATTGGTCCTTCTTCAGGAATTAACATTATATACTGAAATTTCAAGTCAAGATAATCCAAGATTCAAGTGAAATAGCATTTGTAAAGAGAGGGAAGTAAATAATACATTAGAAGACTAAGAGTGGTAAAAGAACTGAAGATCCAGGTGAGATCAGAGAACAAGTCATTAAATGAGGGAAATACAGACAGTAAAGCTCAATTGGAAAATGTGAGAACATATTTCAGATATTAAGCTATTCTGGGAACAGCCAAGTTCAGAGTACTGCCATGAGAGACAATGGTGCTTAGGGAGCAGATATGAAGATTGCATAAGCAAAAGAACTCAAAGAAAAGTAAGATAGATGTGGTGGATGAATCACATCTAAAATTTTGCAGGAGAAAAACAATGAATATTGTACCTCTTCTTAGCCTTTGCTCTTCCCAAAACTTAACTGAGGTAGAAATCATCAGCAACCAAGAAGGGAAGAACTCAACTCACCAACTGCCCAATTACAATGTCTGGCATCCATCCAGTAATAGGTGAAATAGTATTTCACAGATCTTTCCTGAATATGAATATCTTAACCATGACCATGGTGTTAAGTCAATTATCAAGGTGAGAAGGGTTACAAATGGGAGAAAATTCCACAAAATGAGAGAAATGCAGGAAAATAATTATTAGGAAACAGCAGAAGATTCAGCCCTATATAACAATTGCAATATTTGTTAAAGTGTGGTAAAGAGGTAAATAAGAGTGTGAAAGATACAGGGGAAAGTAGATATACAGATTACTGTGTTCTGCAGATGATGAGAAATGCAGACAATGATAGCTACCATTGTAAAAATGGTGTGTGGGCTTTCCTTCTCTGAGTAAATTATGCTAGTAATGTGGTACCAAGCAGGGTTAATGATATTGCTTTATTTCATTATACAATTTGCTTTTTTGATAAGTAATGTCCAATATCTCAAATGGAGAGATACCCTGTCTTAAAAAGAGACTCAGGAGCATTCATAATAAATCATGCTGCTTCTCCTTATCTTTTGACCCCACAGCATTACTGTGCCTCTTTTTACCCTCCTGGCATCACAGAGTTTAGAAATCTGGGAAATGTGTTCACCAGCAGCCCTGGCTAGCAGAGTTACCAAGAAAAAAAATCTCTGGTGAAGAATAGGGGGAATGGAG